GAACATTGCGTTCCAAATGTAATAAATCTATCTCTGAAGGGCATTTTGAAGTAAGAACAATCATGCTGAAGGGCCATTGCAAATATAATTGTTAAAAATTGGCATCTTCAAAGGCCAGAAGGATTTCGAAGGGTACAAAAGATGGACAACTCAATCCCATGATTCTTTGTGTAGGTTTAATTGTATGATGATAGCGCCTCCTTAATTGGAAAGTTGATGCAGATGTGTGTCCCAAGGAACAGTTTTTTGGTCCCCTACACCCTTTGAATCTCTAACTTTGGAGGGTAAACCCTTCGAAGAGATTAGGGCATAGGTATGAGCCCTTCAAAATGGAGCAGTAGAAATCTTTGTCCTTCCGCTCCACTCACGGATTCCAGTCCGGCTTTTAGTTTATGTGTTGCTTGGTGACTCTGAAAGCTTGAAAGGTTGGCTTCTTTTGGAACAATTTTCCCGGAGAAGAAATATACTTTGTGTATTTGGTGTAATGAAATGTGTTTATGCGGTTTAAGGTAAAAAAAAAACACATTATTTTCCACATACTGTACATTATTGTTTCTCCTCTATGCCCCGCCTTTCTGAAACGCATCGATTTTTACAAAGCTCATCGTTCTGAAAAGCGAGGTGTGCTCTGATTGGCCAGCTATCCAGTGCGTTGTGATTGGCCGAATAACAGGAAACAGTCCTCCATAAAATGCACTGCACACATCTGAATATTTGGGTTGAACTGTTCTGGAACAGTGTTGTAAATACAACTTAACCACTGATTTCTAGTCGTGTCCTCTTTTGGAAGGCCAAACAAAGTATTTTCGCTTTCGCAACGAAAAAAATAGCGTCTTCAACATGGCAGCGGCGGTGGCAGCAACAATAAAGTTATGCCTTCTTTCTTTGCGTGAACATTTGGGCGGTGTTATGCAAATCTTCCCACATCGTGACCTAGACATGTAGGGGCGTGTTTGAACAAGGCGTTTTAGGAGGGTGTGGACCAGTCCTAACTTTTATAAAGAATATCTCTTTGGGTTTGAGACTTTAGTCTTTGCAACTTTAGGGATCTTATCTATTCACGAACAGCTTGTAACACTCCAAAGAGAAAGGAAAACTTAGAATCGCATCATATGACCCATTTAACTAAAAACATTTTGAATATAGCCTAATCCTCCACATCTGGCCACGATATGTGGTGAAAACTTTTCAACTGTCAGGTAAACCTAATCCTAGTTACAACTGTTGCACAATCCTAATCCTTAAATTGCACGCATAAACATCATGATAAACGTAAACAAATACGTGTTCCAAACGGAAATACAGAACATGCATTAAAAATGCATGCATTCTTTTTTTTAAGTTTACATGATACATCTGTATTATATGTATTTTGTTTTGCCCTTAAAAAATAAAATTCATAATGTTAATCTTCCACAACAGCAACCGCTGCTTAAATCGAAAGGATACAGAATAAATCACACGTTTGTCTCACTACACTGAACTCACCTTTTCCAAGAGTGCGGTGCAATTCAGATTTGTAGATCCTTAACTTCTATGAAAGTATTCCTCAGGGAAGCTTGACTTCTTGGTATTGTAGTAGCACACCTTGGTTAAATTTATATCTTCTATCAACGGTTTAGAAACAGCATAATATATGAGCCCATTTTTCTCTTCTACAGCTTTGCTTAAAACGTGTGGTTGTGACAGGACCTCAGTTTACCCACTGGATATCAGGCTCCAGCATTCCGTACTAGTTTTTTTTTCTAGGGCACATTCGAAGAAAGGCGCCACTTTTCTATGAAGCACCCTGCGTAGGGAGCTTAAAAGTAAACCTTATACAGCAAGACACTCTTAATCGGTTTTCTGCATGTAGAGGTTCGCGTGCGAAAAAATAAATGTACGTGGGACTCCGCCCTAACAAGCGTCATAGTGTTTTCTCACAACTAGCCTTTAGGAAAAATGGCACGCAATTTATTTATTTATCAGTTATTTTTCTACACCACCGTTCGCCTGCGTGCTAATCTATAATTGCGCGCTGTTATAAGAAAATAGCGGAATACATATATATATATATATATATATATATATATATATATATATATATATATAGCGAGCTTTGCGGTCAGAGCTGAGATTAATTTCTAAACAAAACAAAAAAAAGAGAGGGAGAGATTAATTTTTTCTGAAGATATTAGAATATATTCTTCTGTAGATATAAGCTACAGCTATAGAAAGTCATTTTCAGAGCTGTGTAATTGGGTTTTCACAAAGCCATCGAATTCGTTCTCATTTTTAATAACTATTGGCAGGTTTTGTGGTGCTTTGCACTCCACAAATAGGCGCTTACATTTATGATAAACAATGCAGAGTGAATGGGTACACGTGACTGGGGTAGGGCACGTGTTTAAGGGGTCTTGCAGCAGTAGGCTGCAAAACTACCATTAAGATTCAACAAGAACAAATGTGTAGTAGAAAAGTTTGTGGGGCAAAGAGGGCTTTTGTTAGTTGTTACGCTTTTTACAACAGTGAAAAGTCATTTTGACTACAAAACGCTTTTGAACATTAGTAGTGAATGGCCATGAAAATCAAGATTTTATTTTTTATTTAAAGTTATCACAGGTCTGTCACGGGCTAACGTTTAAACACTAAAATAATTACGAAACATAAAAAGAAAAAAAATGGGAAGGTTATATACAGAAATTGTATTTTAAAAAAGCTGCATCACATAAAACGCATGCCTATAACCTGAAATTAATGAAAGGAAACTTACAATTATGAAAAACTTAGTTGATGTGTTCGCTTGTTTATCCAACAGCTAATGCAAAAATCATGACATTGGAATTTTAGTGTGGTAAGGCTCATGTTCATGTATTTCATGTATTTGAGAAGCTAAGAAAACATTTAAAAGGTATTATAAATGTCATTCTGTCTTATCTCTTGAGTTTAACCAAAACGTACAAACCCATTTTTTATGTCTGTTGTTGTATGTTTGGGTTCCTGGAGACATTCAAGCTTACTATTAATTATAAATCTCAAAACAGGGTCATTTCCAGAATCATAATTGTATACATTTAGAGGAACGTTTCATGATCCACTCTTAAACTCTCATAAATCTCAGGATGACAGACACACAGCATATCTTAGGTCATTAACTCAACCATGTGTCTGTGGTGTCCAGTGTCCACTTCACTCCGATTGTTATTGTGGTTGTCTGGAAATTTCTCAACAGCTGTCAGACTTCTCAAAATGGAAAGACCTTTAACCCTGGTCTTCTATAGCTTTGCATGGCATGTAACATTTGATTAAGTATGCTCTTATAGCTCTTATAACTTCTTGCCTCTACATAGTGCGACCTCACGTTGGGTACTTACTGACATCATGGACTCTTGATTTGTTGATTCAGTTGCTGTATTTTGGATGTGGACTTTTAAAGAAGTCCACATCCGTAATACAGCAACTGAATTTACAACTAAATGGACACAATGGTTTATGATTTTGTATCATTTATTATAGCTTCTATTGATGTATTGAAGCCAATATGGAAGGGGGGGGGGGGGGGGGGGGTTGACATGATCTATAATGACACAGTACAAAAGTACTCTTCAAACTGCCCTAAACCCCCAAAAACCCGCCCTTTGCCCTATTTTAAAACAAAGCAGGATTGATCCAGGTTCTGTAGTAGACAGTGATTACTTTCCTGTAAAAAGTTTAAGTTGTTCTAAAAATGTCTTTTCAGAGATTACTATCTAGGACAGATACTCTTCTCAGAGGAAGACTAATATCGTTAAAACCACAGGGACTTGTTTATCGTCAAGGTAAGGTAAGTTACAGTTACATTTAGGGTCCATTAAGTAAATTTTTTTTTAATATATCTGCATTATTTTAGGTTTCAGACAAATAAATTGAATTGATTGATGTTTATTTATTTGTTTATGAGTATTTAATGTAATGTTTTAAGGGACTAAAATTAATATATGACTATCCTTGAATAATCTTTGTTTCTAAAGATTTTTTGTTCTCTAATCAGTTATCACAAATAAAGAGGCAAATCAGTCATTCAAACAAATAGCTTTGTAAAGTTATATATTTTCCATATACAAAGGAACAGATTAAAAATAAAGTTTCAAATAACAATGTAAAATAAGCTTTAAAATAAACAAATTCCGCTGTATTGATTCATTGTTTGAACAGCGATGATGTTTGCACAGAATATCAGTATATGTCCACGTGTCCACATTGCGCTGTCAGGTTGTTTATGACGCATGAAGCTTGGCAAAATTAAAATTTCATTTAATTTTGCATAATCAAAATCACAATATGCATTGATTTTCTGCATTTTATTAATCCATTTCTTTTAAAAGCTCTAATAAGACATTAAAATAAACATGTGTGATTTCATATAATTCACTTCTGACTTCCGAATGCGTTGTTGTTGGCTTTGAACTTCTCTTCAAAGAGCTTAAGTCTGAAGCAAACAGATATATTTACATCACTGTGAGCATCAACAGATAGTGTTTTATTTTTTATATTATATTTTTTATAGTGCCTAGTGTTTTATTTTTAATAGAATTTCACTGTAAAGATGCTTTCATTAAAGAAGAGAAACCCATAAAATAACCATGTTAGAAGAATGTCTTGCAAACGTTCCCATTATGTTTTGAAAATATTATTTCTGAACTTTTTTTTTATAAAACTTTGTATTATTATGCGAAAGTTAAGGAAACATTCCATTTTATAATTTTGCAAACATTATGAAACATTCATGGCTATTACTGGAGCGAACCTTGAACGAATCTTGCCAAAACCAAAGTTGGCAAAATTTTAAGAATATTCAATATCAGTTGGATACCAATAGCCAGATAGCTGTTTAGGTACTGCTTTATCAAACATGCATTCAGATTCGTTGTGTGTAACACCCACAATACAAACAATCTTCAAAATTCAACACTGAATATCTTTTTCACTCAGAAACGTTACAACCATGGGTTGCAAAAAAAATTTAAAAATCAATTCACATTAAATACTGTTTTATTCTATCCCAGGGAACACTAGCAGAGAGGATACGGGCTGGCGGTGCAGGCATCCCAGCATTTTTTACTCCCACCGGGTATGGCACTCTCATCCAGGAGGGTGGATCACCCATAAAATACAACAAAGTTGGCAGCATTGCTATTGCAAGTGAAAGCAGAGAGGTGTGGTGAGGCATAATCACTGTCAAAACTTGTTGATGGTTTTTGCTATTTTTTTCACCCTCAGAAAAAAATGACATACATATATAAATTCTTGTCCTTTGATTGTTTGGTCCAGGTTCGAGAGTTTAATGGCAGACATTATGTCATGGAAAAAGCCATCAGGGGCGACTTTGCTTTGATAAAGGCCTGGAAATGTGACAAAGCAGGAAATCTTATTTTCAGGTCAAGAAGTTAATGTATTAAAATGATTTAATTTATGACACTTTAACATCATTTGTCTTTTTTAATTATTTTATTTTTCAATATCTTACTTTTCTCAAAATCAAGATCCTACTTACCCTAGATTATCCACTAGGTGTCAGGCTTTATTTGTGTAGCCATCCACGATTCTTTGTTTCTAGAATTATCAGTATTCATGTAATTACTAAACTTTTATTTACCTTTGCTGAACATAATCATTTTTTTAACAGGAAAACAACTCGTAATTTCAACCAGCCTATGTGTAAAGCAGCCAAAGTTACAATAGTGGAGGTTTGTGACCTTTCAATTTGTGGCTTTGACATTTTCTATCGTCATGTTTGAGGTCCCACAAAATAAAAAAAGAAAATGACTTACTTTGGTGCACAGGTTGAGGAGATTGTTGATATTGGAAGTTTTGGTCCTGAAGACATTCACATCCCTTCCATATATGTAGACCGGGTAGTGCAAGGAGCCAGCTATGAAAAACGAATTGAGGTGAGAAAATCTTCAAATTTAGAGCTGTTTATTTCCTTATTGTCAAGAATACAAGAATGTGTAGGTCATGTTCAGGATTTCTTTTGTTTATAGAAAAGGCTGGTTCAGTCTAGCAAGGAAGAGAAACCTAAAGTCAAACAGGACTCAGATATTACCCGGGAGAGAATCATCCGACGAGCCGCACTGGAGTTTGAGGATGGGATGTATGGTATCCTTCAGTAGCCTGACCACAGATATCACCATCAACATGATAGATATTGAAAAGCACAAGTTTCTAACTATCCTGTTCCCACACACCTTGACAACCCTCCCAGCAAATCTTGGCATTGGAATCCCTATGCTGGCCAGCAATTACATTAGCCCTAAAATCACTGTCCACTTGCAGAGTGAGAATGGAATTTTGGGACTGGTGAGTTTCCATTATTAAATAACCTGAGCAAGTAATTTTCCGGCTAATGAATGTTCACTTTTCAATTTCCAATCCCCTCTTTTATTTTACTTTTAGGGTCCCTATCCAACAGAGAGTGAAGTGGATCCTGATTTAATCAATGCTGGTGCAGATCTCTTTATCACTCTATTTTATCATATTTGATGTTCTTTTAATAAAATTGTTACTACTCCGCATACACAAGTGTAGCAGTGAGTAAAAATCTTCAGTGCGAGATCCACAAACATTGCTGCCAAGTAATGACTAAAAAACAATATGAAGGTGTTCAGAATACACAGTATGCTTGCTATGCACAACATAATCTTAATAATAATATATATGATATACATTATATACATATATTTGTTATTTAAGAAATATATTGTGATTATTAAATAATATAATATAATTCTAAAATCCTGCTTTACAACTCAGATCTTGGCTTTTTTGTGTGTGTTCAGGTAAGGAGACGGTAACAGTTTATCCAGGAGCTGCCTATTTCTCCAGCGATGAATCCTTTGCCATGATCAGAGGGTGAGTGTCTGAATGCATCGGTCATTTATGATTAAACTAAATACATACAACTGCACGTGAAATTATAATTTTTAGCGTGAGAATTGAGACATGCAGCTTTTGGGGTACATTTTATGGAACATTTTTGATGTTGTTCCCCCTATTTTTCTTTCACTTCAACTTCTTCACCTTTTATACCCTTTTTTAGAGGTCACATTGACCTGACCATGCTGGGAGCAATGCAAGTTTCTAAGTATGGAGATCTGGCCAACTGGATGATTCCAGTATGAGTTTCATGCTCTGTATTATTGTATCATCACTGATAGACATGCAGTATGTTTTCACTTGCCTGGTTTGACATGTTTCATGTGTTTTTCAGGGTAAAATGGTGAAGGGTATGGGTGGCGCAATGGACCTGGTGTCTAGTGATGCCACAAAAGTAGTTATCACTATGGAACATTCTGCCAAGGTACAATAATCTTTACACTCTCACTTACAGTCATTATGTTTTAACATTTCCTATCACTCTGTGTAAAATTTAAAATGTTTACATTTAAAGGGTGGGAAACATAAAATCTTAGAGAAGTGCACACTTCCTCTGACTGGAAAACAGTGTGTTGACCGTATAATCACTGAAAAGGTCAGTCAAATTTATTTCAGAGAAACATAACATATCTTGCACCTTTTCAAGGACAGTGTGATGTTTGTTGTCACTTGTTCTAGGCGGTGTTTGATGTCGATAAGAGCAAGGGTTTAACTCTCATTGAGATTTGGGAAGGACTGACACCAGATGACATCAAAGCATGCACTGGGACAGAGTTTGCGGTGAGACTAGACTGTGCACATATAAACTAAAACAACATTGTCCTTATTCTGGGACTGTGTTAGTCATGATTGTTGATTGTTACTTCAGTAGTGGCTGTGCTTAAAAGTTATATGCAATTAAAATGATTCAGTCCAGTAAACAAGATTATGAGCTGTTAAAACTTCGTACTTCGGAAGAAACCAGCCACTATTATGTCTTTCACACTTTCCTTTAGATCTAATATTTGTGGGAAAGTTTTGTGTATAAGTGCACAATATATCAGTTAAGTCATTCCGGTATTTTTCAGGTGTCAAAAGACTTACGACCGATGCAGCAGATATGAGATAATACTGAGGATTTATATTGACGGCCTTCTGCCAGTATACAGGACCAGACCAAGAGAGAGGACTCGACTGCCTTCATTTGAACAATTCTTTCCTTTTTTGGATGTGGCATAAATACAGAATTCATTGTTAAATAGATGCATGACTCTTCTCACCATGTTAATTACAACTTGCTCGAAACAGATACAATACTAGAACATAGTAACTCTCGAAGAGTGAAAAACCTCACAGGTAAGGTTTAAGACACCGTCAGACTATATTGTTTCTGAATACATAATTTTAACACAAGTGATGAAGAGCAATGGAATCTGAATAGATTTAATATTAAATATTTTAGTAATAATATTGTTAAACATTATGATGTACTGAAACTTATTTTAATCAAATATTTTAACGGTTGTTTTTTTGCAATGATTTTTGCAAGCTAATCAGCACGGAATAATGCAGCTGTGCTACTTAAACCTGATACTGATTCATTCGTTCTTGCCACAGTTTAAAATAAATAATGTTGGCGTAATGTTTGTTTTTAATTTTTTGTTGCTTTGTCAGCGTAGTCATTTCATTACTATTAAGATGCAACCCAATTGTTAGAAAACACTCTCTGTCTTGAGATTGGTTCCAGATGTTTTTACCCCTCCTTTTCTTTTTTCCTCTCCCTCTCACTCGCCCTCCCTATACAACGCATTCTCTCTGAATCCCCCTCCTCCATCTGTTCTCGCTCTCTCTCTCTTGTATGATGTTTTAATGTCTCTTACTCATATTCGAGGTACGCATGTGCACATGTATGCATTAGCTTTTCTTGGTTCAAATGCTCAAATAAGGACACGAAAGCTAGGACTCTAAGGTAAAGGAGTTCATGATGAACTATGACGAGAGATCAGCATCCTTCGCCAAGTCTATTCCTAATATGTCCATATTTTTCTGTACATGTGGCCATTTTATATAAGCACATGTTCTTGGCCAATATCCTATATGTATGTCATCTATATCCTCATTGGTTAAAGGGTTGAAACTCCCCTCGACATATGCCTATATAATATCTTTGTTTCTATGAATAAATTGAAGTATTGAGAATACATTGAATGTGTGTTTTCTTGCTTCCCGGCCGTATACACTTTAAGGGACTGAGAATTTTCAGAGGTGGCAAAGAGATATCGAGGGACCAATTGTTAATTTACTAACACCTATATAGTGTAAATAGACCAAATCAATGAACAAAGCTTTATTGTGACACATAGAAACAGACCATTCAGTGAATCTCTGCTCAGTACAAGTTTTGACCCTAGTGTCACTCTGTGATTGGTCATCGACCTGAAAAACAAACATTGCACAACTCTCTAAAGACAGAGGTCTATGTGTTCCACAGGGTTTGGGACAAAACACTATTTCACCATCCTCCTTACAATAGGCCTACTTAATGAACCCCATGATTTTTTTTCAAATGACAGAAACAAAAACAACATGCATACACTGTTTACTGGAATTTACCAATTTAAAGACCAGGTTGTGAAACTGACACAGTAATCCCAGCGATGAAATATAAACTGGCAAAGTCAGTGTGAGGGAAAACAAGCCAGCACTGGCAGTCCCTCAACTGATTAATGCTGGGAATTCCTGTCCGAGGCAGAATGATTTCATAATCCCTGTAAAAACTCTTGTATATGAGCAGGCCCATCACTGCATCTACCAAAACGCACAATCTGTCTAGTCTACAGCATCCACAGCATTAAGGTAAGAAGTTGTTCACACAAAAAGCTAAGGTAAGGAATGAATTGCAGATGTAGAGAATTAAAAGCATGGCATAGTCAAGGCTAGATTCCAATGTTGTTGTTGGAATTGAAGTCAAATAAAATAAAATCGAAATCCTGTTCACACCAAGAACGAAAGGATAAAGAGAACTAGTATTAGCGTCCTAATGCCTATAATAAAAAAGAGCTCTGTAGTTTTGTTGACTGTCGCTTTAAATGTTCGGGCTTTTTAAAGTCAATTGGATTCTGATTGGTTGTCAATGTTTTTATCGTTCATCAGCTGAAAAAAAAATCGTTCTGAAAATTATTCCAAGCATATTTGTTCCTTTGTTTCGTTATAGCTATGGTGTGCATCTGCTATTCTTTTACATTTAGAACGGTTTTTAGAACTAACGTTATATGGAACTATCTTTCTTTAAAGTTATCGTTGTAGTTATCATGGTGAACGGGCCTTTGGACTTAAACGAACATTAGAAATATTGCCTTAACTAACTTAGATAAACTGGTTAGTAAATTAAGTAATCAAAATTACTAGTAAAACTGAAATAAAATAAATAATAAAATAACACTGATGTTTTCAGATGTGCCCAGCTGCTAGAGCCTCTTTATTAGTTCTCCTCACGTTTCTGCCTTGTATTTGGTGAGTGCTGCATACAACCTAGATTTTATTCGGTTGTTAATAAGTAATTTAGGATATTTTGCGTCTATTAACCTGGCACATTGTTTTTATGCAAGGTGTGAACAGCCGGTAAACTGCAGGTGGGGACCGTATGGGGACTGGTCAGAGTGTGACGGCTGCACCAAGACACAGGTAAGCAAATAAACACAGCTTTATTTGAAGCAGGTTTCGAGAGTATAATTGCTACTGGCCACAACTGAATGATACACCTTCTAATGGGTTTTTCTCTCAGGTTCGAATGCGTCCCGTAGAGACGTTCCCTCAGTTTGGAGGCAGCTCGTGTACAGGCGAGGCTATCCAGAGACAGGTTTGTTCACCTAAGAAAAGCTGCCCCCTACAGGCAGGATGCGGAAACAGGTTTCGCTGCACATCTGGTAAGTCGTTCTGGGTAAAATTATATTGAATTTGTGGCGACAGTTTACAGTCAGTTTACAGTTTTCATTGGTTTGTTTATTTATAGGTCAGTGCATAAATCCGTCTCTGGTGTGCAATGGGGATCATGACTGTGAAGATGGTTTAGATGAGCTGCGCTGTAGTGGCAGTGGCACTGTAGTGTGTAATGAGCAAAAGCCACCGCCCAACTCTGACCTCACAGGAAGAGGGTAAAATACGGCTTTTACACTCAGCATAAACCATTGTTTAATTAATGATATAATACAATATGTAATATTTGGCATATTTAGGGTTGATGTGTTGACGGGTGAGCTGAGAGCCGGTGTCATTAACACTCGTAACTTTGGTGGGCAGTGCAAGAAAGTCTTCAGTGGAGATCACAGAGATTTCTACAGAGTTCCACAGAGTCTGCTCAGATATAGCTTTCAGGTGAAAATGTAATTTTAGGCCCATCTCTTTATTATAATGATTGCTAGGATATTACAGTCAAACCTAAATTTATTCAGACACCTTCAACATTTCTCACATTATTACAGTTTATTCGCTATAGTTTAGAAAAGGGTAATAAAATATGACAAGAACTCATCTTGATAATGTCAGATAACTTTGATAGAAAGGTGTGTATTGGATTACAATCAACCAAAAAGTATTCAACTGTTAAATTTAAGTACACGATTCTGTAATACCAATTTAGGTCAACCAATTACCAAGCAATCCTTCGTTCATCTTCGGAACAAAAATGAAGATATTTTTGATGAAATCCGAGAGCTCTCTGACCCTGCCATAGACAGCAAGGGTCCTTCCACGATCAAGGCACAGAAACATAGTAAGGACATCGATAAAATGGTCCATGTGATATCAGTGGTTCAACCATAATTTTATGAAGCTACGAGAATACGTTTTGTGCACAAAGAAAACAAAAATAACGACTTTATTCAACAATTCGTCTCTCCGCGTCACCCTATAGCACCATTTTGATCTGAGCGTAAACAACGCACACGCTTGCTTTGATCTGAATGTAAATAACGTATGTGTTCTGTGTCAACAGCACGTGCATACGTCGTTTACGTTCAGATCAAAGTATGAGTATACGTTGTTTACGTTCAGACCAATATGGCGCTAGGGTGGTGCGAAGAGAATTGTTGAATAAAGTAGTTATTTTGTTTTCTTTGCACACAAAAAGTAGCTTCATAAAATCAACTAGTAGCTTCGTAAAATTACTGTGGAACCACTGATGTCACATGGACCATTTTATCGATGTCCTTACTGCGTTTCTGTGCCTTGATCATGGAAGGACCCTTGCAGTCTATGGAGGGTCAGAAAGCTCTCAGATTTCATCAAAAATATCTTCATTTGTGTTCCGAAGATGAACGAAGGTTTTATGGGTTTGGAACGACACGAGGGTAAGCAATTAATGACAGAATTTTCATTTTGGGGTGAACTATCCCTTTAATTTTGTTCAATCTGTGGTGTAAAAAGTTCGCATGAGCAATTAAAGAAAAAAACACTTAAGCAAAACATGGTCAGGTCAAAGTGTCTGAATAATTTTTGGTCCGAAATTTTTATCAGTTTTACTGGTAGTCCACTGTATGAAGAATTTTTGGATATAATATGTCACAGTTCACTTTTTTTTGCTATCCTCAGTTACATAAATTAACTACAGTATCCTCCACCCACTAGTAAAAAATATAAAAAAATTATATTTGGTGTCTGAATAATTTTTGGTTTGACTGTTTATAAACAGTTTCTAATATTTCCTTTCAGGTCAGTGTTGAAAATGACTTCACTGACGAGTACTACGACAGTTCCTGGTCCTACATGAGGCATGAAGAGGAAAGGAAAAAAATTAGAGGAGGTCATGATCATAAAACCTTTCATAACGAATTGAAACAGGACAAGGTAACGATGGATTCAGCATATTAAATAGTAAAAAAGGATAAAAATATTTGATTGTATTATATTTAAAATGCTGTTCTTTCTGTCTTAAAGACCTATCATCTGCTAATGATAAGAAATGAGGTAGAAGTGGCTCAGTTCCAGAACAATGCTCCTCAGTACCTCCCTCTGTCTGAAGACTTCTGGAAGGATCTGTCGGCCCTGCCCAGCACGTATGACCAATCAGCCTATCGATTCTTTATACAGCGTTATGGCACACACTACATGGAAGAGGGCTCTCTGGGTGGCCAGTATCAGGCCCTGCTGGAGCTGGACGCAAGTTATATGATGGAGATGAGTATGTGTTAACTTCTGTTTTTCCTATGTTAAAGGGATAGTTCACTCAAAAATGAAACTTCTGTCATTAATTAGTAACCCGCATGTTGTTCCAAACCTGTTATAGCTTCGTTCAACTTCAGAACACAAATTCAGATATTTTTGATGAAATCCGACAGCTTTCTGACCCTGCATAGACAGCAATGTAATTGCCACGTTCAAAGACCAGAAAGGTAGTAAGGACGTCATTAAAATGTTCCATGTGACATCAGTGTTTCAACTGTAATTTTATGAAGCTACGAGAATACTTTTTGTGCGCAAAGAAAACAAAAAGTAACGACTTTATTCAACAATTTCTTCTCTTCCGTGTTAATTGATGTGCGTTCACAAGAGTACCATGATGCATTCAATATTCAATCCAAATTGAATCCAATTATTTTTTTATTTTAAATGTAATATATTTTAGTATAATATATTTGAATGCAGTGCAATGTTTGCTTTTGGCCCACAGCCCTCAAGCTTGATTTATCTGGTCTAGAGAATTTTGTGCATGCTTCAGTCCAGGTTTTGTGTGATGGATGCCAGAATGGTCATTTTAGTTTTCCCTCATCAACAAAAACCCTATGTAAAATATGTGTGAATCTCTCTTTTTTTTAATGTAGGTAAAACGGATATTGATTTCCACCAGTGTATTACACGTGTGAAGCGACGGCTCTTCTATAAAAAGAAAAAAACCACGTGTACGAAACTGATGAAGACAATTGAGAGTTTCAGCGGTTAGTCCAAATGACTGATTCTTTGTCAAGTAATGTAATTTAAATATCAGATTTGAATGTTATGACCTGACATACCCTTTGAAATGTTTCACAGAGAACAGAAATCATAAGATGCCAGTAAAAACAGACGTTATCGGAGGACATCCCGCTTATATCGCTGGCCTTAGTCTTCTAGACTTGGAAAACCCTGACAGTAACAAACAGATGTATTCCAAATGGGCTGGATCAGTGAAGGAGTTCCCTAAAGTAATAAAACAGAAGGTATGACAGAATTAAGACATCAAAAACATGTGCGTAGAAGTATAAAGTAAGTAAAGACGCATTCATAATCTGGTGTCATATTCCTAGTTGCGGCCACTGTATGAGGTGGTCAAAGAGGTGCCATGTGCCGGGCTGAAGAAACTCCACCTCAAGAGGGCACTGGAGGCCTATCTGGAGGAGCAGAGCCCTTGTCACTGCAGACCATGTCAAAACAACGGCATGGCTGTGCTCGCTGACGGTGTGTGTGCCTGTGTGTGCAGGCCGGGCACCAGCGGTAATGCCTGCCAGAATGGCCATGTCCTTGGAGAACAACCTGGTAAGAATGTTTGTTCATTTATTACAGATAAACTCAAATGCAAATGTGTATCTTTAATGATATACGATCATCTGAACAATCGGTCAGTAATGATATGGACACACAATTTTATTTTGGTTTGGACATCTCTGAAGATAATGAAATTTGTCATTCATTAAGCAAGATTGATTCAGTTAAATCAGTTCCTGCTATGTATCTATTCACTGAATTGAAGGATTCGTTTGCAAACCTTTTTTTTTTTTACTATATTCATTAAAACAACTTGTGGATAAGTTCCTAAAGTAGTTTATTATTGCACTATATTCAATACAGACAGCTCACAACTCATTTACATTTACAATGCAAATACGTTTTTCTTTTCTTGTGATGTTAAAGAGTCAGCAGCGAAAGCATTGATTCAGCACTGAAAGCAGTTTATTTGTTTAAAGTAGCAAACCTGTTCTTCTTGTCTCAAATATGTCAAACTGGTCCTGCTTTACAGGAGTAATTGAAGGAGTCTGGAGCTGTTGGTCTGCCTGGAGTATCTGCTCTCATGGTCAAAAGTCAAGGACTCGTTCGTGTAATAATCCTGCTCTAAGAAACGGAGGCAGGAATTGCATTGGAAAGACCATTGAGTGGAAGAGCTGTGAGGACCCTGATTTTGAACACCTCAAGTGAGGATCAAAAATGTGTACATTTTATTTTGTTTTTTTGTTTTTTCAGACCAAACTCACAACCGTTTTTCATACTTTAGAATGATGGAGCCCCATTGCTTTGATCCCACTGTGACACCAGTGAAGATGTGTAAAACTCCACCTCCTTTGACAAATGGATTTGTTTTGGTAAGTGTCTCTCTAATCAAGGGAACTGGAGTGGGGTGGGAATACGCACATAAGTGAAAACCCCTTCAATACACAAAACTCGCAACAGACATGTGTTTTACATCTCATCCATCATGTATTCAGGACCCTAAAGACATCTATCCAGTGGGCAGTAAGATTGAGTACACCTGCACAGACGGACATGATCACATTGGCAATCCAGTTGCTGAGTGTACAGAGAACCTGACCTGGAGGATATCACCCATGCAGTGCAAAAGTAATTCTATATGTCAAAAATATATTTTTAAATAAATGTATTAAAAAAATGCATATACTGTGTGTGTGTGTGTGTGTGTGTGTGTGTGTATATGCAATTTTTTTATATATTCATTTGAAAAAATTCTAAAATATGTTTTAAATATATTTACGTAAATATATTTTCTACCAATATATTTTATGGCTATTTTTGTATATATATATATAAAATACTTATAAAATCAAATAAAATATATATTAAAAATAAAAAAATATTTTTTAAAAAGCATTTACAAAATATATTTTGCCCTCCATATATTTCAATCCATCAGAATACATTCACATTTCACATTTGAAGAAAGCTTTATTTGGCTATATAACTCATGTGAGCACACATTTTAAAGTATTTTGGCCAGATTTTTCTATATTTTTTCTTCTGTTGTATGGGTAATTCTAAAGTGTGCTGGTTAGTTGTTAATGCATTGCTAAGTGATTGCTTACTCTCTTTTTCTTTTTATTGTATATTCACCAGAAACTGCATGTGATCCTCCAGCTGTTCTGAGTAATGTCATTGCCACACCCTCAAAACAAGCTTATCTGATCGGGGAGACTGTGACCCTGTCATGCACAAGTGGGATGCAGAAAGAAGGTGAAGCAGAAATCATGTGCCGTCTTGGTCTCAGCTGGTATCCAACACCTGAGAGTGTCCGATGCAAGCCAGGTAGGTTGTAGGCTCCTAATAAACACCAATCAGGTTCTTGGTTTCAATTATTTCTTATATTGTTTTTCTGAATAGTGGAAGTCGTGCCCACTCAACCAAGCCTACTCTGCAAACCATGGGAAAAATCAGCAAAGGGTCAGTGTGTTTGCAAAATGCCATATGAATGCAAGTAAGTTTATTAGTTCTGGTATTGAATGCAAAAAGTAATAATGACCATACAAAGCCGCATGCATTATTGTGAAATCTCTATGTGATGTTGACCAGGGTGTCACTCCACATTTGTGCTTCTGTGCGTCCTGGACGGGTGAACAGAATGAGCATCTGCCAGCTCGGGGCCTTGCAGTGTCTGGGGCAAACATTTACTTTGTTACAAGATAGTGCATGCAGTTGGCCAGAAACCAAATTCACATCCTGTCAGGACTGTCATGAGTGGGAGACGTGTGACGGTAGGCTTGTTATAAAACATCAAAACCTTGTTATGTAAGGATAAAAGACATGACACTTATCTTATGTGCAGTTTTAACAATTTATTTTAAAATACATTATTTATATACTAATTTATAACATATAGCAATAATAACATATAGTAAAACAATAATAAATAAATAATTTATTTTATTGTATATATTTTATTGTATTTATTTTAATATGTATATGTTTGTTGTAAATTAATAAAACTAATAATTGTGTACATAAGTATATTTCAGGTTATTCTTACATTTTAGTCATATCTCAGTGGTTTGAAACTCTGTTTCCCTCTGTGCAAAAAAAGTCATAGCTTGAAAATAAGTTGCTTTGGATAAAAGTGACTTCTAAGTGCAAAAAATGTATATGTAAAACATGTACATGTGTCCCCAGGTTCGAAATGTGAATGTAAAGATCCTGAAGACTGTTTGGATGACTCCGCCCACCTGTGTGTCTCTCTAATGGGCGGAGCTCCTGAGATGGTTTCAGAGTGCGAGGCCGGGGCTTGGAGATGTCAAGGGAAAGACATCACAGTACTCAGCATTGGACATTGTCAGGCATAAACAACAACTTTCAATTGCTTGTTGCAACTGTATGATTTTTTTAAAACTGTAATGTGTAATAATATGTAATATATATATAAAAAAATATTGTAAATAAGTGCCCATTCATTAATAAAGTGGTTCTTAAATTTTGGGCAATAACAGATCAAAGTCACAATTACACTTTTCAGTGTAATCGACATAAAAATAACTTACTTTTATTTGTCTCTGCACATGCTGGGATAGAAGAAAGCATTTTAATGTTGCAAAAATATACACAAGTTTTAACAGATAATTACATATAATAAACACATCTGAAAGTCTGATAATGTTTTATTGTGAAGTTCCACATCAATATCCAGACAGCTCAAAAAATAACTGCATAGCATGCTGTGTGTGACTATAAAACAACAATGGATTATCTGTACAAATCAATAATGAGTGAGCATTTCAGCTGTGAAAACTGGTGCACAATTAAGAACTTGCACAAGGACCTTCATGCAGAAGCTCAAACTCCATCTTGCTGCACTTCATGGCAGCCATGAAGCACAGATTCAAGCTCCGTGTGCTTTGCAGTCTCACAATTTTCAAGCAGTACATTTGCTTCCCATCTTTGGAACATTCTCTGGGGATTTTGCACTCGCATGTTTTTGATACTAAGAAGAAAAGACGATGTTGAATTATTTCAATTGGATACAAACCAAAGGTGCTTTGATTCTGAAATAACACGTTACATAAGGATTCGTGATCAGATCTGTACCTGAGCAGGTCTCCCACTCGTAACAGGTGTCTGAACCGCAGGGCTCCCGCACCGAGCTCTGCTCAGATACGCTGGCCCTGAATTTGGCCCAGTCCAGACTGCCTGCGTCGGTTTTGCATGGTCCATGATTCATAAAGTATAATCTGTCACCATTACAATGGTCAGCATAAAAAGCACAGATGGACATCATAATGGCAGTCTCCTTGTCAGCGTCAAAGACACACAAATCTGCTCTGTAATTTCTGCAGGATAGACAAATGCATGGTGCTTAATGGTCACGTTTCCAAACAGACCACAATATTAGGGTCCACAAAACTTGGAACTATTGACATTCATACCTGCATCTCTCTTTGGACATGCAGACGCATTTAGTCCCATCATGCATCTCTCCAGCTTTACAGCTGCTGTCTGGTACAAAGGGTTTATCTGCGGAAAAATATGTGTTATTCATTTAACCATGTTTGCATCAAAGGAGCTAAAGTTGTGAATGGTATGAATATTATACAAAAGCTCATTTATTCTGTGAAAGTACCAATCTTGCAGTGTATGTCTTGTGGGATGCTTGGCTCCCAAACAAGACTCTTCCCACACGTGTAATACTGACGCCCTGAGGGACTCATGCCACTCTCTAAGCAGGCCAGCATGATGTCACTTCCTACTTGAAACTCCATTTTGTCTGGGTATATCGTCATGCCATCAGGTACTGTGGGTTTGGAGCAAATGTTTCCTGGAATGACAGGAAAACATATGGAGTGAAAACAGGACGGGACAAAATGAGCTTTCAGATCATAAATTATATCAGCATTTCTATGGCTTACTAATGCACCGTCCCTTTGGTTTCTCCCAAGTGCCGTCTTGCAAACAGTGAATGAGCTGGTATCCATCCAGTTTAAAACCAGTGAAGCAAACAAACTCCTCGTGATCTCCATAATCGTACTGACGTTTGTTGATCTGGAATTAGAGGGAAAAGCTAGACATTAGTGGAAGCAGGCAGGAATAAATGGCATGTGATGTAAAAGTTTCAGTTTAGAGAAAGAAGGTCTTGTGCTTTCTCACCCTCAGGTGGCTGTTGGCAGGTGGACGGGGTTTTGGACAGCCAGAAGCTCCGGGGGGCAACTGGCTCTCACGGGACCCTTCAGTCTCAAAGTCATCATCATTAATGCACACATTTTGCCTGTAAAAGACATTTGTTGCATTTATTGCACATGAAATTGTGCTTGATCAATAACTTAAAATGCATTTAAATTAATACCTTTACAATAAAATTTTGAACCAACTGAAACAACATGTACACAATAAACACAGTTATGCCCAGTATTAACAGTAATTTATCAGTAAATTAATATTCATTTAAAGGGATTGTTCACCCAAAAATCACCCTTATGTTGTTCCAACCCTGTAAGACTTACTTACTTCTGCAGAACACAAAAGAAGATATTTTGGAGAATTTTGGTAACCAAACAGTTTCAGGTCTCACTGACTTTTGGAGTCCATTGTATGGTCAAAAAATATAATGGAAGTCAATGGGAAGTTAAACTGGTTACCAAAATTCTTCAAAGTATCTTTTGTATTTCGTATAAGAAAGTCATACATGTTTGTAATCACATGAAGGTAAGTAAATCATGGATTTTTTTTGGACTATCATTTTTTGAAAATATATTATTAAAAATGTAACAACTAAACTAAATGACACAATTATCATGTCTGAGAATAAAAAAGCATCCTCTATAGGCATATGCACAGCTGGGAAATGAAAGATCTAAAGCACAATCACATTGTAAAAAACCACTTGACGTGTTTCAAGTGGTTTCAGGAAAAACACATTTTACTCTAAGTCTACACGATAGAGTGTGTGTGAGAGAGCAGCACAAGTGAGCAGAAGAGAGAGGTGAGATTGTATGGATTGTATGCAAATGACTAGCTGCATGCACACACTGCCTATTTTAGTAAAATACAAATTCATCAACATCAGAATGAAGCTAAGAACAAATTTATATGCGTTCACACTTGTAATTATGTGCAAATTCAAATTGCGAGAAATGTTAGTGCCACTGACTCCACTGATACCTCTGCTTGTAGTCTACAGACAAGACAGGGCACTTACGTCTGGAAAATAGAGACGGTGCATTCCTCCACCTGTTTCTCAGGGCCTTGGCAGGGTCTGCCGCCTCGCTGCGGTGCAGGGTTGTTACAGGTACGAGAGCGATGCTTCTTCAAGGTGGCGTCACAAGTACTCCAAGAGCTCCAGCAACTCCAGCGCCCATCAACTTCGTCTGTGAGATGTGGACAGAAATGTATTTCTGACACCTTATCTATTTTTTCATAATGAATTATTTTTTAAGCATTTTATTTTATTCATATGATGTATATTATATATCTGTATTAATATTCTATCTTAATAATATTATCTATTAAATTCACATTTTAAATGGCATATTTTATGCTATACTGGATACAGATATTTCTAGGCATGCATGTGAACCTGTAGTATAGTCCCGGGCTCGTTTCTCGCAGTTTGGTCCATAGGTCCCGGTCTGGCAAATACAAATGCACTCTGTTCCAGAAAGAGCAGGCCGAGCATTGTTTGGGCAGGGGGCACATTTGCAGGAATCAAATTCGGTTTGATATTCTTCCAGTGCCTTATGAAGATGCCTTCTCTTCGTCACAGCACAAGGGAAGCCCTGAACCAAATTCACTAAAGGCAAAAGCTAGATAAGACATTGACAAATCCATATTAATCTAATGATTCATTATGCCTTTTTTTAATTCATGTGTTCTTTTGAATAAAAGGGTATTATATACCCACAAATATTTGACAGGTTCTCCATCTAACCTCAAAATCTATAACAGTTGGATTGTCTATTGTAGATTTGATCCAGTTCTGGTATGTGGTGCTGTCTGGCGATACACCCTTCTTCTCCCAGGCCAGGGCTGTTGTAAATTCAGCTCTACCTCCTTGCACTGACGTGATACACTTCTCTGCTGCTTTTACAATTGACCCTGGAGTGGACAAGTGCATTTCAAATTGGGGTTATATAACTTAAAACATAAGCCTTATATATTAAATAGTACATTTGTGCATGTATTACCTTCATATTTGGTTTGAAATGAATGTTTCCCACATGTGGAACTAAATGATTTTCTGTTATAGAATATAGTAAAGATGGAGGAATCCTGACTAAAGCAACTACTCATTTCTATTTCTGTCAGTCCTGGGAATCATAAGGAGATACAACTGATTTAAAAAAACAGTTTCATTGTATTTCAGAAATGAGAGAAAACAATCGAATGAAGTCACATGAGCTCCACGTGACCGAGAGCTCTAATGTTGATAACGTCTGCTTACCGTAGGTTTTTAGTTCTTCTCGATCATATTGGAAAAGGAGGTCATACTTCCCCCCTAATGTCCCAGAGCTGAAATAATGTGTCCCAAACAGCTGGAAGATCTGTCTGTAAAGGGCATAGTTGTATTCCAGTGGCAGACTGTTCAGAAACTGAAGGAACTGGTCTGCTAAGTAGAGGCCAGAGGGTTTCAGTCTGAATGTTGATGTGGCAACAACCTGATGCACCCTGTAAAACTCAGAGTCCTGCACAACAATTACAGAAATAGATCTGAATAAATATGCATAAATAAGGCATAGAGCATCATAGTTTGAAGCTTGAGATCTCTTGCCTTTTGTTGAGATGCTTTCACTGCATCTTTGAGCAGTATATTACGTGATTCTTTGGCCAAGTTGACTTTTTGGGGTTTGATTTCTTGCTCTTTAATATCCTCAAGATTTTCTACCTGGAACGAATTCAAATCAAATCAAATGTGAAAATCCAACCATTGATTCATTTCATGTGATTTGTGTGATTGGTTTAAAGGTAAAACAATACATAGCTGCTAATCTAATTCATTATTTTTTAGATGCACTGATATTGAAATCCTGATCAATACTGACTATACGTCGGTTTATTTATGGATATATTTCTCCCAATTTATATTTGTACAAACTACAAAATCCTTTATAATTATCCATTAGCATTACAACATGATAATGTACAATATAAAAGATGGATAATTATTCCTTTTGCAATCATCTTAAAATAACATTCATAGAGGTTTTGGTACATTTAAATGGGCAGAAATTAAATATTGAATATTAGACAATATATTTTAAACAAACAAATAAACATAGCCTACCTGTATGGTGTCAATATATTGTGTAATTTGGATATCTTTCTACTCCAGCAAACAAAGTATGACAGACAGAAATTTGATTTTTCCCACCTTGATTTCATATCTGTCAATGTTGGCAGGGCTTCTGTAGTAGTTTCTCTTGTGTCTTTGTAGAGTGCATGCACCCCCCATGAATGAGTTGTCCAGAACACCGCCTCTCATCTGCTCTGCTGCAGCATCAAATCTAATTTTAAATCAGTTTTAAGATGAGTACAAGCTCAGATTTGCCGATTTGTTTTGCCGACAGCACGACAACACCCTGAAAGCTTACCACGTTCAAGAAAATGTTTTGCAATCTAAGAAACCCAAATGATCTTTATCTGCAACTCACCCATAACCAATCAGGTCTGCTCCAGGAATGAAAGCAAATATCCGTTCACTTGCACACACGCTTTTTGTTTGCCCACAGTCTCTCTCATCAGAGTTGTCTCCACAGTCGTTCTGTTTGTTGCACTGCAGAGTAGCGTTTATACATCTACCTAGCAAGTCAGGGGCAATAAAGCAAGTTAATGATCACGCACCTGTTTTCTAAGCATTTAAAACTGCAAATACGAGCTAGATTATAAAATCAATTTAGGACAAATCTTAAACCTAAGGCGCAAATATGCTGTGTTGTAGAAGTTGCTGAAGATAATTACCACTGTCACAGGTGAACTTGTCTTTACAGTTGACAGGATCAATCCCACATTCCTTGGAGGGATGACAGGCTCTTTCCTCTGTAAGAGATGGACTACAATCGTCCCCCCCAAATTGAGCCGGCCTCAAAACAGACCTGGTTCTGAACTAAATCACACAATATTCACACACTTACTAGGGCAGTGTACTAAGCAATTTCACACTAGCAAAAATGTTGACATTGCTGAATATTAGCACAATATTATAACAAGGCTACGTGCTGATATTTAACAAGCGCATTTTGAACGAATCTGTTGAATGAATGAGTCAATGTCTCACTCATAAAGACTTGTCGCTTATCGCCACCTACTGGCATATCAATGTAACTGAAATTTGAAGACCACGTCACACCAAGGATGATAACGATAACTATAACTACTATAACAAAGTTTAAAAATGGTTCTAATTCTGAGAAAATAATAAAGTCCACACCACAACTAAGGATAACGGCACAGAGGAAAGATATCGTTGGAATCACTTTCAGAATAATTTTTTTTCTCCCAGCTTTTGACAGATATAATTTTAATCAGCTATTTGAACTTTCATTCTGACGGCACCCATTCACTGCAGAGGAACCATTGTTGGATGGTCCAGATAGGTTTCAATGAAGAAACAAACTCATCTACATCTTAGATGACCTGAGGGTGAGTAAATATTTAGCTAAATAAAACCGACAGTCTGTCAGGAACGTGAAAAGACGGACAAACAGTGAAAAGCCCCAAATTTATTCTGCTGCTATATCAGCATTGATATTATATCTCTTGAAACACTGGTAGACTAACTTTGGAATAAATCACTTAATTTTAATATCTGTGTGCTTTACTCACAGATTTTTTGGCACACGGCGAGCACTCTGACCAGGGTTCAAACTCAGTCAGCTGACAATGTATGGAACAAGCCTCAACATTGCATGCTCTGGTCTCATGTGTCTGACACAGCTGGAAACAATTGTTTTTGTTCCAGTGTTCATCATAGCGTACAGCCCTGCAACAAAACAAATGTACATATTAAAATAATACACTTTGCACATCAGAAATATGTTAAATAACGTTACCTTGTACGTGCTTGGTTACCAGAGTTACAGGTTTTGGTGCAATAGGACCATGAACTCCATGGGTAATGGTCACAGAAACATCCCATAATGGGAGTAAATGAAGCCAGGGTGCAGAGTAGGACCAGGGGAATGGTAGCACGATCCATAGAGAAGAAAGCCTGTTGGAACTTGATAGCTTAAGGGAAAGTAGAAATAAGTAGGTTATACACAAATATACGCATCAGTTTTAATATATTGAGTAATCAAGACCTTACCACAGACAGTTTCTTGAGAAGAGCTGCAGAAACCTAATAGTACATGAACTTGATGAATAATACATACGTTTCAGACTCCTCCAAAAGCATGTAAGCACACTATCATGTGTAATTTTAGCCTCTTGAGTTTGACTGCAATATGAATACACATTCAAATCAGAGAGACAGATGCACAATCAGCTACTCTGGAAAAGTAACTCTAATTCTGAGCTGGATGAATTGTCTTAAAGCATTCTCTCACAACTCTCTTTACATAATTTGTCCATCCCCCTTTGCTTCCAGTAAACCCCTGCAGCTGGAAGTCTTCACTTTGACATTTGGCTCCTGCTTTAGACCATGGGAATGTAGACAGGGAGTACATGGATAACATGTTATTACAGGTCAAAGTTATTGCCTTTCTTCGTGCCAAATTAGAGGTCTCTTTTGCACGTTATCTTATTTTTCATAATCATGTTGGTCTTAATTTTAAACATACATCAATTTCTTAAGTTTTTTTAAGGGTTCATTTTAAAGGCAAAAAAAACTGAATGCAAATTACTGTAGGTTGCAATAAAACAAACAATAACAGTAAAAAAACAACAACTTTATTATCATTATAAAATGACTTATAGCTTATATGAGCTGTAACTATGCACACTTTATAGACACCTGACATGAGGAGCAAAAATCATGCTGCAAACTCTCATTAAACTGATATGCATTCACATAAACCTGATGTCTTGAATGGATAAATTAAAAATAAATCTTTAAAATCAATTTTAATAAATACATTGTTTTATTTACAATTATTTGTATTATGTACATAGTGAATTTTATTGTGTTTTATTTGTTTCAAGCTTAGAATGAAATAGCAATGGCTTTAGTGCAGAGCGTTCTTGTGCCCTTAAAATGACTAATATACTTTTTTTTCATAATTTCCCCTTTATGGAAGACTAAATTAAAAGCATTGCACAGTGACAAAATTTATATAAAAGAAAAAAACAAGAAGCAAGAAGATGAAATACAGCAATCCTATAACTAAACGTGCCCTTTCACTGACAACAAATTCTATGACTATGATAAAAGAAAATCAGAGACAGACGTTATTATTTTACTTCATTCTCTTGCTTTTTTTTTATACAATCATATGGTTTCACAGCACATGACAAAGAATGAACCTCTCGGTAACTAAAAATAGACCATTGATTTTGCTTAAAAACTCAACTGGCAGGGTTTTGAGTCTAGGAGATTCTGTCCTCCAGCAAGGGATTAAGTAGTTTTGACACCGTCCAGGGACAAGTTACATTAGCGAAACAGTTCCAGAGACACGAAGGAGCTGAGTGAAGCATAAATTGATCAATGATCAGAAAAGAAGACTTGAGAGTATTGAAGGTTCAGCCAGACACAAGGCAACAAAGCCCGGAGAATCGCCTCTTCCTCTGCCTCACCAGTGGAAAAGGAGTCAGATTTAGCAGACTGCTGTCATCTACACACATAAAAGCACAGCATTAAAAAATAAACACATTTCTAGCTATATGAGCATATTTTTAAAATGTGTGGAAAAAAATGGTCATATTATCAGAATAAATTCCTAAAAATGTTTGAGACATACCTTGATTTTTCAGTGGCAAAGGCATTGTCTCCCTGAGTTTGCTTAGAAGGTTCCTCATTTCTCGCATATCACTAGAAGACATTTCACAACATAGGACGTCAACTGAGATTATAGCGAAAAGGATTTATTGTACAAGCACTTAAAGACCACATTAAATTGACTGACAAGCATTTTATATACAAGTGTCTTATACTCACCTAGGCTGCATTTAAATATTACTACAATTTAAAAAAACTGTTTACTATTTTAATATGTTTTAAAATATAAATTTAAAATTTAAAATGAGCAAAGCTGTATTTTCAGCAGCCTTTACTCCAGTTTTCAGTGTCACATGATCCTTCAGAAAATCATTCTAATATGCTGATTATTATCAATGTTGACCATGTCCGGACTTTTTTATACATTTACTTGAAATAGAAATCTTCTGTAACAATATAAATGTCTTTACTGTTATTATAATCAATTTATTGCATGCTTGATAAAAGTATGCATTTATATACATGGAAACAAAAAACGAAGCATGAACACATGTATACATATTTAGCAAAATATTTAATGTATTGTTTTTACACCTATAATTAATGATTATAATCAGTAGTTTTATATTAGGCCATTGTTTTTTTGTTTTTATTTGATTATGTATTGGGATTCGCTCATTCCTTTCAAAGGTTTCAGTTTACAGTCCTCCTTTTTCTTTTTCTCAGGTTTTCAAATACTTTTTGCTTCAAAGTTTGTCATGTTGTGATTCATCTCAGAGCTGGTAGGTTGTTTCGTATCCCTATGGAGTAAATGAATTTGAAAAGTACTTCCAGATCCAAGGCTGCTGAAAAAGTGGAAGCTGTCTTTCCTAATTCATTCATCCTGTTTGTCGTACCTCTCTATGTTCTCAATGTCTGTGCACACGACCCAGGATTCCTGAGGAAAATCTACAGGTGACGATGATCGATCTTCCAGCATCGGCACATCAGAGCTTTCGTCGACCCTGTAGTCCATGTTTGGATCAGGACACATATCATTTCCTGAAGCAAGTGACACAAGATTCAAAGTTATGCTTTGTTTTGCTTACAGAAAAACAAGTGAATGCTTAAAGGAACTGTTTTATGTATTTATTGTGCCATCTCCACCACCTTCAGACTGACAGTGGTATGTCACCATGCAGTATATTAGCTTTATGTACTCATGTCTGCTTATGTAAAGAATCTGCTGTCCTCTGCTGGCTGTCATTGACACAACACCTTTCCTGTGGAGCTGCAGAACACCCAACAGACACATAGATTTGAGCATCTCGGTAATGTACATCTCCAGACAGCACTGAAGCTGGATGAACAATCTGCATATTTCTGGGTGGATTTCACCATCCTCTGGCCTAAGAAAAGCACAGAGAGAAAAAGAGAAACCACATAATATGGCATCTTACAGACACATCATCAAATCTACATGGCTGCTCTAACATACAGGCTTACCCAGAGATTGCGATGAGGTTTTGATAGGCGACCTGGGCTACGGCACATCCTTTGATGCGAGTCTTGTGCATCTGTGCCCTTAAAGAAGGACAGTCAATTGTATTCTCCCCTATGGAGATGACCTGCTCACGATGGAGAGCCACAAGAGTGTTGAACTCCTGAACGGTCTAAAAATGGAGACAAATCCTGCTCAGTCTATTATTAGAAAGTCAATGTGTATAGATTAAGCTACAGCAGTGTTTTGGAACATGGTAGCTGGTTTGGTTGGTAGACCATCTTGGACCAGCACCAAACCAGTTACTGGCTAGTCAAGCAGTTAGGGTAGCTGGTTGATCATTTTGGACTACCTAGAAATGTTCCAAAACAGCTAGCAGCTTAAACTGGATTTTCCAGCAGGGTAATCACGAGTTTAGCTGCCATTATCTAGATGCCACACAGCAACACATGGGATTGTGGGGAGGAATGTAATTTATACATAATGGTGCAGTATGAAAACACAAATAGCAAATGATAAACATAACACTAATTATTTATCTTAGAAGCAATTCATATTTCAATAGATCACATCCCGTACATGGGCTTTTAATATAGTAAGTATCAATGTTGATGGGCTATACATTTCTACTGCAATTATTCGTACTGGTAGCCTAATGCTAAACCTGTTAATTTGCACATAATTGATAGTAATTTTAATGTGTAGACACCAAAAAAAGCCTATCCAAAAATAGCATCCGCAGAAGAGTGACAGCGGTTGTTCTTCAGCACGCTCACCGTTCTACAGTCATCCATCGCCCGCTGAGCTCTCCGCGTGCTCTCGGTGCTCTCCCGGCGCTCCGGATCCCTCACCGAAGACTTGCCGATTTGAAAAATGTTGGCTGCGGATCTGGGGCGGTTCTTTCGCCCGTTCGGTGCAGAACACATGCATACGCATCCACAAATAAAACCACCTCACTGAGGAAAATGTCTTTAATCCGTCTGTCCTCGATGAGAGGGTGAGGTCGAGCCTTGGATGCGGGTTGTTTCGATGCTCAGAATGAAGTGACGGAGCCGAGCGAGCGTCCGCGACGCTTCCTCTGCATCTCCCGCACCAACAGGCGAGTCACCTTCACCCCTGTCGAGGGCCGAGCGCCGCTGCTGGATCTCCACAGCTGCGGGCTTCACGATCCATGAATAGACGGGTTCGTCGAAGAAACACAATTGCTTAGTGTGAGGAAAAAGAAACATTCACGATTTTATTTGTAATCGGCGTCTTAAATAATGTTTGCTTAATCTATTTGTTGTTAGTAAATACAACTGCTGTCTAAGACCTCTTTGAAACGTTCCGTTTAAAACCAGCATTAGAGAACCTAGAGAAGTAGTTCATGTTTTTACAGAAACCTCCTTGAAATGTTAATGTATGTATGTATGTGTGTGTGTCGTCACACAAAAACTTACATGCAATATTCTGGGAACGTTAGTGAATGGTTGGAACATTAGGATTTGGTTCTAAAACAGGATGTTCTCTGCTGGGTGTTCTCTCTTAGGATTCAGATGAACAAAAAACACATTCCCAAACGGGATTTGGCTGTCATTCTTGGCCATTGCCAAATCTTAATAAATAAATAAATCTCATTCCAGTAGAATGAATTGACACAACAAAACATGTTCTGAAACACTTTACTGTGCAAAAGAAGCCATTAAATTTGTACAACATAAACCTGGGTTCTAGCATTAAACAAGCATCTAAGCCGCTCCAAGTAGGCCTAATGGTAACAGAAAAAGAGGCAACTTATCAACGTGTACTGACAGAGTAAGCATTATACCCTGAATTATTGCTTTTTCTCTTTTCTGCTGCATTATAATACTGTTTACAGGTCAAGTAGGCAGATGCTATAAGGTAATTGCTTAACGTGATATCTATGAATTGCACGAACCCTGTAAGACCTAAACCACAAACAAACACACAAATGATTCCCACAGGAAGAAAAACACCTGAATATTTCATCATATTTGAAGCTACATTGAAATAAAAGTATGAGGCACTTGATGAGATTTCCACTGTCAACAACATGCATTTGTCCAGCAACGGCAAACGAAGTGAGAACTAATCCTCCATACATCAGAGGAGGAGGAAGTAGCAGAGGCCACAGAAGATGATGAACGCCATCACCCAGTGCAGAGAGTAGATTGAGATGATCACAAAGTCAATGTCAAATGGCCAGCCCCACATGTCTCCCAGATCCAATGCATCCAGGCCAAATGCTCTGTGGGGAAACTGCCAGCGACTGGCAGGTCCGCCATGTCTCTGAAATCCTGAAATAACAACAACAAAAAATAAATATGCAACTTGTAATTAAAACTTTTTAACGACTAGTGTCTTGAAGACATGCCAATGCAAATGACATATGACAAACCCCAAAAGATGCGGAAACGCTTTGGACAGTTGGGCAGGGGCCATTTAGAATAGTTGGTCTTCTGAAAGGTCTCATGTCTTGAACAATACACTTTTGGGAAGCAAGTCTTTGTAGTTTGATTGAGCTCTGAAACAAAAGGTTCATCAGGTGGTTAGATAAAGTTCTTCCAAGCAATATGAGAGAAAATTTAGTTTATTTGTTCCACTCACCTTCCTGAAAGAGCACATGGGATATGAGGGTCCTACAGAGGGGACACGGGGTATTGCTTGGCCTGTTCTTAGCCAGAGTTCTCAAACAGGGCTCACAGAACACATGACTGCAAGGATGGCACTTGTAAGGGCTGTAATATACATCTAAACACACGGCACATGTGTATCCTTCCCTTTCTTCATCATCGCTGCCCTTTAGGTCCCACTTCATAGCCTGATAGATAGAAGCAACACATAAAATATGAATGAAGAACTGATACATTATGAGGGGGAAAAAAACAAATCTCCAATAAAATGACACCTGCTGCAACAGCCACATGCAGCTGTGAATGGCTTATTAAGATCCTCAGGATCTTGCAGCAGCTTATTATGTGGATTTATGCCTGTCCTGATCCACAAATCTATTATTGACATTTTGCCAGAACTCTTTTCAGCACAACACAGCTCCTTTTTTAATAGTTCACATATTTCTTGCTTATCTGACTCCTCATAGATTAAACAGTCTAGAGCTGCATACCATTCAGAATTGAGGAAGCAAACAGGATGCAGAATTGTAAATCAAATGTGGCAAAAAAAAAACTAAAGCCGTATTCACCCCAATAACTATACTTTTCCTGTAGCTCAAACAGTAGAGCATTGAGCTAGAAATGCCAAAGTCATGGGTTCTGAATAAATGTATACACTGAATCCAGTGAAAGTCACTTTAGATATGCCAAATGCATAAATGTAACAATAAAAAAGTTGTAATAATCATTTTAATTATATAAGAATAGGGAAGTCCACACCACACAGCTATAACAATAACGTCACAAAGGAATGATATTGCAATCACTTTCAGAACATTTTTTTTTTCTGATGAACTGATGAATGATAAATCATTTTATTTTATTTTTTACAATCAATCAGAATACATCTGGTTTTAAAGAGCTTGAACTTTTAAAGTAGCAGACTACAACTGCAGCGCAATCTTATAATAAACAGAAAGTTATTATGTATGGGTATGGATGCTAAAGTAGCTATTGTTCTATTTATATTTATTCTTGATGTAAATGGGCCTTTAAAATTAAATGAAACTCATATAACATCTGTCAGTGTACTTTTTAATAATACACTTTTTGTGAATTATCCATGACTGTTATATATATATATTTTTTGTTCATATTTAAGAAGGTTGCTAATAATTATGGAGTTGACATTATGTATAGAATTGCAATCTCACAAACTTTAATGTTGATAATGTAGAGTGCTGTTGGACAATATATAGTGGTGTTTGCCTAAATTAAAACCTTTTTCACATTTCTGATGTTTGTATTAAAGAAAATGTCTAATCATTTCAGAAGAAATGCATATCAGGGAATAAATGAGTGATTTTTTTTTTGTCAGAAAACTAATTTTGGACTATAAAGTATGTGTGATTGTTTTAAATGTCTGTGATTGCAATTCAATGAATTCCAAATGAACATCCTGAAGGGGAGCCAAATTGATTTAATTCAAAAATAAGAACAAAATGAGTCAGACTTTGGCACCACCCACAACTTTAAAACATCTCACCAGATCTTTTGCCTCCTGCTGTCTCTGAATCCAATGCTCCTTCTTCCTCTGCTTCCTTCTTAGGCTTTTCAGGCAGTTTTTCTCTCTCTTGGAAAGCTTTGGCTCTAGGTTGGGTGAGATGTTTCTTGATGGCTCCTCCATCACTCCGAGTCTGACCTCCTCTGGATTCACAGCTCTGTCCAGAGAGGTTCTACTCTGGGAAGCAGAACCCACAAGCCTTACCTCTAAGCTCTCCTGATAATCAGACAGCTGTGGTGGCAATTCAGAAGGTAAAGAAACATCTGTGCCTCTCTCAACAGTCTCAAGAATCTGTGGTACTTCAGTTAACTCAACCTCAAGTTCAGTTTGAGCAGGGGCTACATGGGACACAGTACAGGAAAAGCTGAGGGTTGAGGAAGGAGAGGGAGCTGAGCTTTTTTTCTGAGGGAGAGACTCCACCTCATTCTTCCTCCTCACAGTATGTTCTCTAGTCCTTCCTAGTCTTGTCAAAAGAACTGGAGGTTTTAGATCCTGATCAACACGACTCTTACTGAGATGCAGAGTTGTCTCATGTCCACAGGAGCATTTAGAGCAATTTACAAAATTAAAGCCTCCTAAGCGAGCTCCACAGTTCTGACAGTTTAATTTCCCCACTGTCCAACTGGCCTGCAAAAAATGTACATTTTATCAGAATAGATCATTTTCAGATGTCAACAGCCCAAATTGCATTAATTAAAAACATAAATTAATGAAAACTACCTGATCAACACTTGCCAAAATCCAATCTGGCAAAGATTCAACATTCAAATGCCACACATTGCATGTGGCTGCAGTCTCACTTGATGCTACTACCTGTATTAATATAAAGCAGTGCCACTTAGGAATATACGTTACTGATGATTATCATTCCTTTTACATAAATGAAAGTCTTAAACCATTCCCAATATACTGCAGTTACCTTTCAAAGACAACATATTATAAGTTTTAGATCATAATTCTCCCACCTTCAGGAGGCTAGTCGAGTCTATTAGACATCTACGGCACTTTCTGCAGCGAAGGTTTGTTGGATCTTCTAGTGTCCCTGATTGATCTTGTTCTTCAGCCTGTTTGAAATGTGCATTAGAAAACCTTATTTTATTCCTATACAAATCCCTAGGTAGATTAGTATCACACACAATATAATGCATGCATAAACAGTTTATTTTTCTTAAGTAGTGTCATTTGTTGTCATCTGTGTATGTCTTCATAATCTGCCTTTTTTGCACATTAGAAAACTTTATGCTTGAGCATAAAATAGTACAAACTCTTGCTACAAACATCAAAATTAGTACAACACAGCAACATTCGCTGTATTTACTATCTAACCTCGCACTAAATTTCACATCCAGTTTGTACGCACATTTAAACAGTGTAGTTTTCTTAATAAAAAAAAATCTACAGTGATAGTTCCTGTATTAGCCGGTGTTTTTTCCAGTCATTTTTATGTAAATACTTCCTGTTTGTCTCAATTAAACATTTGTTTTACGTATGTACCAAAAATATAACATACCACGATAGAGCTAGCCATTTTCCTCGACGGGATTTCTGAAGAGCACCTCAAGTTGTTTGGCTAAAAGGCTAAAAACAACAAACTGGCTCTGTACTACTCGGAGTGCAGTTGCCTTCGCTACGGAAGCCGCAGAGGGGAAAAAATACTCGGAACAAGCGTAAATACTGTGAGTACACAATAATTAATCTATTTCATTCATAAAGTTACTCATTCATTCATTTATTAAATCAATCAAAATTTCCTTACCTAAACCAAATGAATGCACAAATAATGAAACTCATAGGAACATAGGAAATTCAATCGAAAGTGTTTTAATCTACGTTATTTTAAAGACGCTTTAAACACAACACTGAATGTTTGTGGTATATTTGTGGTGTAAATATATAATTAAGTCAGTGTTTTAACGATGAAATGCGCTGG